AACAAAATAGCAAATTTGTCACGAATAAAAGGCATTATTTTAGAGTCAATTTATTTTTTTACTTTAATTGATTTAACATTGATTCAACACTTCCATAACATTCTAATCCGAAGTCCTATATTATAAAGATATCCGTTTGTAATCCTTGGGATCTGATTTTGAATTTTTCTAATATTCTAGTATCTATATGATGTGTCATTTCTCACATTTAAAATTTAGTCAACATCTCTATATAACCATCATCAAATTTATATAAATTTAGATATATTATAATTATTTGTATTAGGTTTTCGCATGTACTTAGTATGAGATATTATTGTATTTTTTTATACTAATGAAGTCAATGGATATAATAATATTTTATAAAATATTTTAATATTGCAAATTTAGCACATTTTGTCCGAGGTACATCCTGCAATCATCTTTAGGATGTTTTTAGGACATTTCTTGGAGAAATCTCTGTGTTGTACGGGAATTAAGTAATAGAATTGTCTCAAAGTTTACGGTTGGACGTCTTTAGGACTTAAACGTTCTGAATAAATGATGTATAGGACATAATGAAGTGCTCATTTGATAGCCCACAGGATGTTCTCAGGAAGTTCCTGGATTACAAAGAAATGTCCTAAAAAAACGTCCTAAAGAGACATTCCTTTGTTGTTAAGAATTATAAATTTCTACATTTAAATTATTATAACATTTTGAGAATGTGTTTATTTTAAGGTAATCAAAACGCTATAATTTAACACAACACACACATAATCTAAACTCGAATAAAAATGAGCTATGCAATGCTAAAAATAATTCTAGATTATCTAAAAGTTATCTATAAAAAGAAATATATGTATTACTAAGAATATGTTTAATAATTTCTGGTAAGCGATTATTTTGTAAGCTTACATTAGATATAATTACAAGTATTGCGAATGGCTAAATATATATATTTATAAATAAATATTTTTAAAAAACCTGCAATTTTGAGTAAATACATGAATGCATATTTTTTAACGTAAAAATTTTGAATGAATATAATTTGTAGCTTCATTACAAATTTTTATATTTATCGGGCATACTAGGCTGAATAACTATTTCCAATGTTTCAAAATTTCAATCTTTTTTCCTTTAAAAATAAAATAAAATTCTTCGGAAAAATTTTAAATGGTTTTTCCTTATTTCTTTGTTCGTTTTGTGTCTTTATATCTCTGTATCACTTTTTCATTACTCCGTTGCTATCACTGTATATATAAAAATAAGAAGCGTAATAAAAAAGCAATCATCAAGGAAACAACTCCAAAGAGCGGATTACTACTATCAGTTGACTAACATTGACTACGTTTACACGGCTCGATTTACGTCAAAGTTATAATATTAATGTTATGAAACTGACCAATCACAGTCATTTCATTCTTCAGAGAAACAGCTATAATTGGCCAGTTTTATAATTAATATTTTAACTTCGATGTAAATCGAGTAAACGTAGTCATAGTTCGGTAATAAACATTACTCTTTGCGGATCAGTACAGTAGTAGCAGCAGCAGCAGCAGTACATTTTCAAGATGTTTCCGAGAGTCTCATGGATTGCCGTGACAATAATCGTGCTATTTTGCGTTTATACTTACGGTGAGATGTCGATGTTGTTCCATTTTCTAAGAAAAAGTGGCAGTTATAAGATATACGTCTTTCTTTTAAATGTGTATATGAAAATACAATGCACTGAATGTGTTACTATATTCAGTGTAAATTTTATAAAAGTTTACATCTAGAATAATATTCACATAGAAATTGGAGAAATTGATAACTTAAAAAAAAATTTCAAAATTCCTTAAAAATTATAATATTATACTTATGGAGATTTTGAAAAAGTTAGAAATAGAAATTCTGAAAAATTACATTCAGAATTTTCTGAAAATTTGTGTTAAGGAATTTATACTACAGTTATAGCTTTAATATATTAATAATATCCGAATTTTTTGTTATATTTGTAGCTCAAGTTGTGTCGTTAGTCTGCTTAGGCTGTTTGTGCGAAGTTAGTACAGGATGTAATATTAGTATTGGTTGTAACAACATGGTATGTGGACCATTTTCGATAACAAAATACTACTGGGAAGATGTTGGCAAACCACCTCCAATGGGCGAGTCGAGCAGTGATGACGATGGTTTGTTATTTTTACAAAAGCTTTGAATATTTTTTAGAAACAATTTTTATTATTTAGTTATTTATACGTATATTATATAAAACGCTGCTTTTATATATTTTGCGAATAAGATGAAAAAGTTAATATCATACTTAAAAAAATAGATATATATGTGATTTATGTTTAGGTGTCTTTTAGTACTAACATTACTAATTACATAGAAAGAAATAATATTAATATAACATCATTTTTTCCGCATAGCAGATATTTAATATGATAATTTAATATGACGACATTTATGGTTAGCATTAAATTAGTAATAATGAAGGAGAAAATGATATCATGGCCTTCGTAGTTGTGTGTGTATAATGACATCTTTGTTATATAGACAGCAAAGTAATAATTATATTTATGAATAATTATTATTTGTCCACTCGTTCTAGGCTTACATCATAGCGCTATTATACACATCTTTATATAGTTAATACACAAATAATCGGATTTATTATAATGCAGTTTTACTTTCAAGCAGTTTTTAAGATATATTTCAGCATTTAATTTTAGCATGTACGTACTTCTTCATTTCTTTCTTAAATTTGACTCACACGAATATGTACACTTGGTTATAGTTGTTCGTTATTTAACATTTTATTTAGTTATACACATTTAGAGTTATACAAAGTTAAACAGCATTTTGCTAATGTAGTATATGCTAATTGCTGACAAAACCTCTTTTTCGAAATTTTTATATAAAAATAATTATTTGCTAAATTAATTAATTGTAATTCTACTGTTAATCTATACGTTACATATAAATATTGTATAGATTTTTAATACTGAGTATATATTATATATATTTGCATACCTTCTGCAATCTTTTATTTGTAAATATATAATTTTGTATCCAAATACTACTTTTTTAAACAAAATCAATTTTTTAATCTATTTTTGTGGAGACGCCACATTATCACCCTCATGTTTTTCTTTAACCCATTGTTACATTTTTATAAATAATATATCCTAAATAAAAAATATTTTGTAACTATGAATCTAAAATAGATTGAACAACACTTTGCTGAATGTATTTGTTAAATTTTAAATTTAAATATTAATTATTAATAATGAGGAGCCATAATATCACCTTCCTCTTTATAATCGACTCATAATTCGTATGCTAATATTATTTATTTTAGTGATTAATAAATACAAGTTTTATAATTATGATAATATAAATGTGTATCATAATCAATTCTTTTTTTTTTTAGCTTTTCACAAATGTGTTAATGATTTGTACTGTGCTGGTTATACGGTACAGGCCTATATGGCTAAACACAGTAAGGTAAAATCAACATTTCAATGTATTACATGTTATATGAATCTTTGCATAACTCTAATATTAGCGCAATTAAAGGACTGTAACGGAGATGGAGTAATCGATTGTGATGATTATGTACGTCTTCATCGACTTGGTTCAGCCGGCTGCAACAACTCGCTAAGCAGTGATTATGAGAAAAAATACAAATTCTGTTTACAAACCTTCGAACGTAAATAATAGATACATCTTTTATTATTTTTTATGTGAATACAAATCAACATTAATAGACGTGTTTATACTAATTGTAAGTTGTTTCTGGAATCATTGTGTGACGTTCGATCAAATAGTATCGAGAGTGTCGTTATGGACAGAGATTACATAATAAAGAAAGAAGATATATATATATATATATATAAACATATTTTATATTT